TCCACCACCACCACCACCGGGCCGGGGTCTTCTTCAAGAAATTGAAGGAATCAATCAAGAAGTGTTTGACAGGTTGATTCCACGCCTGCAGGGCTTCCTCGGCCGGCCGCCGCGCCGCCGCCGCCGTCGTGCGTCCCGTCCGCCGTGGTCGTCATCCGGGCCGCTCCCGGTAGCAGGCCGCCCCGCCCCGAGCGAACACACACACACGTGAGCACACACACACATGAGCACACACACACGGCGGTCGCAGCGTTCTTCGGGGAAGTAAGACAGTACAGCAGCACCACGGGGTTGGTGTGCTCCCGCTCCCACGACGAGTCCCGTGCGACCGTGTTGGGTCCTCTCCATAGGGGCCGACACCTCCCCCTTCACCATAGAGATCAAGAAGCCCGACCGGGACGTCCATTTGTCGACGGCCAACGCGTCACGACGAGGTAGTATGATGTCAGATCACAGCGGTGTCACAACACCTCTCCCGCGCGCCGTCGAGGATTTCAAATCGATCAAACGGTGCGGAGAGGGGGGCCGAAGAAAATTCTAATGATGTGGCCTGTCGCCCAGCCCGTCCATCTCTTACTAGCACCGTCTAATGAATTGTATGTAACTGTCATGTTTTGTTGATTTATCATTCCCAAGCAGCAGCAGCAGCACTGGCGGCCGAGAAGCAGCCTAATCAGCGTGCTATGCTCAGCTACAAGGTCCCGCATTAGCGTCTGCTGCTAGCATCGCGCGCGCCAATCCGCCCAGGGAAGTCCCGAGGCGCCCAGCCCACCCGCGCGCGCGCCATAGGTCATGGGAGAAGCAAGCTTCCAAACCGAGGGAAACTTAACTCCAAAAATATGTACACATACAAAAAAAAAATATCGTTTCCAAAACATAATTCAAGTTCAAAAATAGAATCGTTTTAAAAATCATTATAAAAAATTATTTTAAAAAAACGGTGTACGTTTGAAATTGTAGGGAACAAGTACCCCTCGCAACCATCTCGTTGCAAAAAGTCTAAATATCTGTTTGAAAAAGCGGCGCGGTGCCGATTGACGTGCTAACGATGTGTTTGTTAACCACGCCGTTACAAACCTGCAGCCAGGCGTGACATTCCGTGACACGACCCAATAAGCGCAGCCGCAGCAGCCCGTCACAGGTGACGTGACAATGGGGGTAGGTAGGATGGAGCAGTTCCCCGTACGAAAGGGATCTCCCGCCCCGCCAACCTCCATTTCGTATATCGTTAGCGCGCACAGAGGTCAGATGAGGGCAAGAGAAAGAGAGAGAGAGGGGGAGGGGAGGAGAGTAAACCGGCGAAATCCATACATTATCTCTCAATTAATATGAAGAGGCGAACGAAAGCCTCATGCAGTGCGGGTGAGCGGGCGAGGCCGAGAGGTGGGCCAGGCGGGGACCAACAGCACAGCAGTGCTACGGCGAGAAAATTACAGCACGGGGCGAAAACAAACGCCAATATTTATCGCATCATTTCTTTTGTTTAACTCCGCGGCTGCGCGCTGTTGGTTGTGGCGCCCGCGTTTGTTGATTCTGTCCAAATTGGTGATCCGCTCGCCAAAACAAGAGCAGCGCCCAAATCGGATGGGCGCGGAAACCCGTTCTCCATGCATGAGAAAGAGGAAGCTGACCGCGTATGGACCGTTTTTGGTGTGTTTCTTTTTTTGGGTTTTGTTTTTTTCTTCGAGAATGGCATCAGGCCGCATCAGGCGAGGCATCAGGCTAATGAAACGTTGTACGACTTTTGGTGACTGTCACGGTGGTAGGGTACGTATGGTTGTGTCAAGAATTTCAAACGAATAGAAATGTGATTCTAGGCCAAGTTTGTTATCCTTTTTTCTTCTGGATTTCATGGGGCATATTGGAGTGAAAACTTTTTAATCAAAAATTAGAGTGAACCTACCAACGAACAAATGGGATTGGAATTGGAACTGGTATCTTTACAATTGCATTTGGTGTAAAAACGTCTGAAAGTGAAGAGTTGAATATAAATGCATGGGGGGTTAATTTTACGTCAAACGTGTAATTCCTCTCGCTTTCTAGAGTATATGCACGACGAAAGCAGAGTTCAATTTTTAAAATGTCCGCGGGCGGGACAATTTGTGCGGGCCGTGGGACTGCCTATGGCGCCTTGCTGACTGACTGGCTGACTTTGACGGGGCTCTACTGCGGCCTGACGCGGCGCGAGCATGACCCCCCTCCCCCCTCCTTCTCTTTCCCCCCCTCCTGACCTGCTTTGCATGGAATAAGGGTCACAACCCCACAACAGAGCCTTTCCCCCTACTGCCCAACCCCCCCAACCTTCCCTCTCCCCCTTACATGTTATGGTGCCGTACGAGACGTGCCGATTTCTAGGAAGACGGTGACTTGGGCCCTTGCACGCACACACACACGAGTGAAGGGGTGAGGGTGCATGACATCTTGAATCACCGCCCTGTCCGTGCGCGCGCGCGCGCACACACACACACACACACACACACACAAGCACCTGCATGCCGGGCCGACGCTCATACACTTCCAGGAAGCCGCTATCATTTATAACCGGGCGCGAGGCCGGGGCGAGCGGGGCGGGGCGGGGACGCACTCGACAAAAACACTATTAGTCGCGCGCGATCGGTAAGAGAGACTTGTGTCGGATCATCGCGCCATGACAAATATGTTGACCGGGCCTCTCTCGGAGCAAAGCGGGCAGGGAGAGAGAGAGGGTGACCGTGTGCCCGCGCGCGCGCCCCATTGTGCAACGAGCGCTGCGTGTAAGAGAGCAGCCGGGCGGACGGGGCGGGGCGCCACTCTGAGGTGGAGGGTGAAAATCAGAAACTTTATGAAGAAGAATAAAAAAGAAAAATTTCTCATCGCCGCTCATCGCCTGTATGATTTTTCCAGCGCAGTCTCTCACGTTCGATTTCATCATCAAGAAAACTGTGAAAAATTCTTGCAGCTTTAACAGCAGGAAAATCCCCCATCCCATCGAGTGTGTCGTTTAATATTACAATTTAAAATTGAAATAGTACAAGCACTACGTACCAACTTGAAATTCATCGACGAGCAAGTTGGGGCTCTCGTAAAATTACAACATATTTGGTAATATTCATTACAACCGATTACAACATGTATGGTAAATTTACCAGACTATTTTTGAGAGTGGAAAAGAAAGAAATGAGAGAAAGAAGAGAGGGAGAGAGAGAGGGAGGGAGAGATGCCCCCGCGGGTACCACGCGGCGCCCCAACCTAATTTCATTATTGGTAGTAATTTTTCCCACCTTTCGAAATACCGAACAGCGGCCGCGCGGCGGCCTTGCGAAGAGCTTTTAACGCGCACGGTAGTTCGGGGAGGCGGCGGGTGTGGCGTTGGACGGCGCGCAACGTAAAATATAATTTCTAGAGGTCTCTCCGCCCGCGGGGGCCGGACGCCATCGCTGGTTACAGCGCGCTCGGTACGCACCCGAGGAGCAGGGGCACCCACCGGGGCACCCACGGGCACCCATCACAGGGAGGGCACCCGGGCGGCGGACAACGCTGCTCGGCCGGGCTTCCACTCTGATTTATTCCAAGAGTTGTTGCTGGGTGAGGAGATGGTTGGAGCAGCAGCAGCAGCAGCATTGGGATTACAGCACACGATATACACTCTGTTCAACACAAAAATAATAAAAAAAACACATTTTACTTTCATTCATTATTTACACGCAGGTTATTATTTCCTCCAAACAAAGTGCGGCGCAAGGCGTGATGGTTTGCCAAAAAGTTTGCGCATCGCGCGAGAGTCGTCGTTGTTGTTTGTTGTGATCGGCTAAAAAGGAAGGAGAGGAGTACGATTTATAACGAGTCTCATTTACATGAATGGCAAACTTGGCGCGGCCAGCAGAGCTGCTGCTGCTGCTGCTGCTGGGGGAAAAAAAGTCAAAAAACGCCCGCGGGGGCAACAAAAACAAACGAACGGCGCGCGTCACTGCGTGCAGCAACATCAACTACAAGGTGGCGCGAGCGGGCGATTTGGATTCTACTCGACGCCCGTAAATAACCATTACGCTATTAGAAGTGGCGGGACTCGAGCCGCGGGCGAAGCGGGAGTCGCCACAGTATGCGGCGTTTGTGTGAGTGTGTGTGATAGAGAAAGAGTGTGTGTGTGTGTGTTTGTGCATGCGACTAATGTATCACCGCTAATGAGGGACTATAATAAGGATAAATAAGTCGACGGGCTGCAAAACATTATGAGGATTTGAAATTTGTGCTCGCTAAACGTTTCACACTCTAAAAATTTGCGTAGAAGAACAGTAAAAATTTTCCCAGAACGGCAATAACGTTTCTGCGTGCACACCCGGATAGACCGGATGCAAATTTGCGTAGAGAATTTACGAAGTGTGTGAAAGTCAACAAATTTTGACTGGTTTAAGGAACAAATTTGTATCTAGGGCCGGAGTTTGCATAGAATCGTTGCCGTTTAAAGAACAAAATTAGTGTTCTTTATTATTTTCTTCACAATTCCCTCATATAATGTTGCTACGCGCTTGATTCGGACGGCGACATCATCAGAATACCTTCTGGCCTGCCAGCAGCGCAGAAGGAATGGGGCAGAGGCCCTGGGGGCGGGTACCCGCGGCGGGTACCTCCTCGTCTCTGCCTCCGCCTCCAACGTCAAGGTACTTGTCCTGATTTATATTTATTTAATGTAACATGCACACTTTTCACTCGGTGGCGGGTGGTGCGCGGGGCGTGGTCGGCGAAGGGGCGTGTCGAGTGAGTTAGGCCCCTCTGATTGCAAAATAACGCCCAGTCGGCCCGCAATCAAAACACTACTTTGCGAAAAAGAGACGTCGTGCGTATACTTTGAATGGTTATATACATGATTCAACCTGCCTATAAAACAACGGACATAAATTAAGGTATTTGATGTATTTTTAAGGTGGTGCGAAAGACATTAACACAGGTCTAAAAGTAACATTGTTCTTTAGTGCTTATTGGGCCTTATACCCAACTATACAATATTTTCTGCAAAAGAAAAGGTAAGCACGCCAACAGAGAAGGTAAGCATCACCACGCGCACATTGGAATATTTTTTTTCCCTACTAACCATTTTTTTTCCATTGCGGCCAGGATGTCCAGGAGCCGCCTGTCTCGCCGCCCATCTATCAGCCTGCAGACAGCCTCCAGGCAGCCTCCAGCCACAAGCTGCTCGTCGCTCCAGAGCCAAAGCAGAACCAGCCGAGCCGTCAGACGAAACACGGCTCGTCGCACCTAGAGCAGACGGCTGGAATTTTTCGGAAGAGATCGACGCCGTGTGCCAGAGGATGGGGCCGCGAATTTTGCATACCAAGCAGCTATTTTTGCAGTGATGGGTTGAGTGGACGGCTCCCACCACCTGCCTCTTGTCACCTGCAACAGAAATCATTCTCAGTAACATTACATACTTATACTCCTTATACTAGTACAAAATTGCTTTTGTGACGTGCACAATATCACCTAGAAGACCGTTTAGTCCAGAGGACCAAATTCAAAACCGACGAAATTTTAGCTTTTGAGACCAAAATTTAGACGTGGTGATGAAATAATTTAGTCCAAGTGACTTAATTTGATTGGTGCGACTATATTTAGTTAAAAATGGGGATACTAAATTTTAGTTCGTTTTAGGAACTAAATTTTGGTTTTTTACAACCCTGATTTAGTTGTATCAACTAAATTGTTCTCTGGGTGTATTACAGTTACGTATTACACAAAATACTCCGTAACAAAAAATGTGGGTTTTTCTATAAATATTTGCGAATACACATCCAGCGAACCGAGAATCATGCCGCGGCTGCGATGTGGGAGAGGGGAGGCATATGGTACATGAGATGAGACGAGGGTGACTGAACTGGAAGCTGAACTGAAGGACTGAACTGGAAGCTCCGCCTCGAACACGACGGCAGTATAAAGGAACGAATAATATTTTATCGACTAGAAGTCCATCAGGTGTATGGGGAGGGGGGGCGCGTTCGGCTCGCCCTCCGATGTCACGACCAGATCGCGCATCGCGCACGTCGGTGCCGTCGCGCCGCGGTGGCGGGGTATGGCCGCGGGTGGCCCGGCAGGGCACGGTCCCCCACTCACTCCCCGCCAGCCGTGGCAAGGGCGTCAACGTTTTACCCGCCTTGTTTTACGACTAATTTACTATTCATGCAGGACCACGCCACGACGCGGAGCTCCGCAACAACGCCCGGGGGCGCGAGTGCATGAGCTAGAGTGCGCGGTGTGGCACGGCGTCGATGAGTTACCGCGCGAGTGGGAACCAGAAACAGGTAGCAGCTCCTCCGGGCCTGACCACCGAAGAGGCGTGCGAGAGCGAGAGCGAGAGAGAGAGAGAGAGAGAGAGAGAGAGAGAGAGAGAGAGAGAGAG